AAAAAAAAAAAAAAAAAAAAAAAAAAAAATTCCCAGAATTTTGAAGACATAAAAGAAGTGAAACCTAATTTCCTCATCTTTAGTAGATGTAGATGCGATTTTTTCTCTATGAAGAATGGTCTTTCTAGGTTTGTTTTGCCCTGGCATCTCTGAGTTAAAATATAGTTGCGAATTTTAAAGTGTTCTCTTGCATCGGTTTTCGATCTCAAAATCATGTTGCATATATTTCTCTGCAGAATCATCGTAGGAAACAAGGGTTCTCTGCTAACGCCGAGGCTATGAAACCAGGCACCCCGTTTCTTCTCCCGGACCCGCGCCTGCCCTCCTCAGACCCTTAGAAGAAGCTGGTGCACGTGTTAGTATCTGACACACTGCAGAACTGGCTTCTGGCCACACGTGCATACGTGCGCGCGCGCCTACCTTTTAGGGTTTCAAGGTCGTAGAAAGTGGCCGCAAACCTGGTGGCCCGATGGGAAGCCGAGCGGGAGTCTGTGCCGGTCAAACTCGGGAGCTTCAGTCGGCATCTCCACAGCTTCCAGTCCTCGAAGTGTGTGATTCGCAGCAGCTCCTCCAAACCGGAGGCCGCCCTGATCTGCTGTTCAGACTGTTCTAAGGTTGACCGAGACACCCGCTGTCAACAGACAAAAATACTGGTTTCAAAGCCAGTTACTAAAGTTTCAGTGTGTCCTGACGGCCCACATTGCCGACCCTTAAAGATGTAAATGGAGCTGAAAAGAAATTAGAGAGATCGTTCAAATGTACACCGGTACCTAGGAAAACTACTAGCATTTTTGATTCACATGCTGCTCATTGATGATTGAATCAAAAAAAATGATTCCCCTGGTTTCTCGGGACATTTAAAAACAGTACCATAGTGGCCGGAATGGTGGACTTCGAAATGCTATATCCCAGAACCTGGGAGTGTGACTTTACTGGGGCCAAGGATCTTTGCAGAGGTAATTACTGATCATGAGATGAGATCATCCTGGATTATCCAGGTGGACCCAAATACAAAGACAAGCGTCCTCTTAAGAGCGAGGGAAAGACATGGACACAGATGAGGTTTTGTGAAGGCGGAGGCAAAAGTTAAAGTAATGCAGCCACAAACCAGGAATGGCCCGGGGCTGCCAAGAGCTGGACGAGGCAAGGAAGGATTCTCTCCGAGAGTCTTTGGAAGGAGCACAGCCCCGCTTACACCTTCATTTCACGTTTCTGGATTCCAGAATGCTGAGAGAATAGAGTTCTATTGTTTTAAGCCACCAATTTTGCAGTAGTTTGGTACAACAGCCACCGAAAACTAGTAAGGATTTTAAAATCACATTGTTTTTGTGACAGGAGCCGATGACCATTGCTTTCATCTCTGTTATCTGAGAAGCTGGCCCACAAAGTCCTGGGGACCCTGCCTATAGTCCCACAGGAAAGAAAGGTTTTAAGACCTTGATAACCTGAATTTTCTAACTTCTAACCCTCTGAGCCTTTCACTATTCCCGTTCACTATTTCGAAGGCATCTTTTTTTTTCTGATAAAATACACTTCCAAAGTTTATGTTGAAAATTTGCTTTCTGCCCAACTACACGGACCGTATTGGCTGATACAACGCATGGATGTGTGAGACTCCACCAATACGGTAAATTGTTCAAAATAAGGGGCTTGGTTATACAAATATGATACATACATACAATGAAATACCATGTGGTCATCAAAACCAGTGATGTAGACGTACATTGGGACAGAAAGAATTGAGCTCCTCCCTGGGATGTGCTGGAGAAATGATACAGCAGTCTGTCTATCGTCAGGGACCCAGATTTTCACCTGCTGAGCCTGCGCTTACTGGATCTTTGTTTTCCTGGGCAGCTGGGATATGCGGGCCGAGGGGATTTTTAGAGCTGGGTGAGGGGGGAGCCAAGGGACCAGGACAGCTGCAGGGTGGTGCCGAGGAGGGAGGACGGAGAGATGGGTGTCGGCTGCCTGCTACAGGGGAAGGAACGGTGGGGAAGGAGAGCTGAGCAAATGGAACCTTCAGGAAGCCTTGCGTCGAGTGGTGTGATGTACACCCTCCTCCACTGCGCCTGAAAAACTTTAGTTAAAATCTGCATCAATAATCAAAGTTTTAGGAGGACTTTTTGTTTTTAGATATGATGGTAGGTACAGAGTGTTGTCCAAAAGCGGGGTGCTCAGAAGAGCAAGTGTGGTCAAGTCATGTATGATTCGGTTTTTATATATTTTAAAATTGTTTGTGCGTGAGGGTGCCTGGGTGGCTCAGTCAGTTAAGCAACCGACTCTTGATTTTGGCTCAGGTCATGATCTCGAGGTTTGTGGGATAGAGCCCTATGTCGGGCTCTGCTTGGGATTCTCTCTCTCTCCTTCTCTCTTTGCCTGCCCATCCCCCACTTGTGTGTGTGCGCTCTCAAAATAAACATTAAAAAAATAAAATAATTTGTGTATAATATCCTTCGTGTATGTATGTATACATAAACAATCATTGTTAATTAATCATACATGTAAAATTATATATAATATATATATATATAATATATATATAATTATATATTATATATATATATACTACCTGGAGGGATATATATGAAAATATAAACACTGATTCCTATTCTACATCAGGGACTGTCAAACTACAGTTCCCTGGCCTAATTCAGCCTGCTCCCTGCCTGTTTTATGAATAAAGTTTTATTGACACACAACCATGCCCATTCTTTTTACATATTGTCCATAATGGCAGGGTTGAGAAGTTGCAAAAGAGACCTTCACAGCAGATTCAATCTTGAGGCCAACGTCCTTTCAAATTTCAATTCTTTATCTTTTCAGGCATTATATTTTTCATTATTCCATGTGTTGTTTCAATTCTAGTTTTGAAATATCTACCAGACACGTATTGGAGCGCTTTAATGATTGTACATGTCTCTTAAGTGTACTTTCATATTTATCTATTTTTTTCCTCCCTTCATCTCTCTTCAATGTGTGAAATTAATTGGTTCATCTTCCCAATCACCACTTCTCCAATTGTGAGTCTAGTAAGTTTTTAATTTCAATCACCACATTCCTAATTTCAAATATTTCCACTTCGTTCTCCTTCCTTTTTATTTCTGTATGTTTCTTCGAATTTGTCATTTTATGAATATCATTCCTTTGATCTCTTTATCTCATTCCTAAATACACTTATTTCTTCAAATTGTCTTATTTTAACTTCATATATATGATTTATATCCTGATTATTAATTTTATTGGCTTTCTTAGCAATAATTACCTCTGTGATTTGGAATTTTGTTTAGTAGTTTCATCTTCATTGGGAGTTCATTTTTTTTTCTCCCTATCCTTTCTTCATTTAGAAGTTCTGTGGTTGCAACCCCTGACTCCCAGGGCCCTGAATCCAGAATCTTATTGACTATTTATGACTCAGGGATCAGCCTGGTTCAAGTCCTGGTCGCAAGGAAGTATCTGCTTCTGTTGCCCCTAGTTAAGCAGTTTCATAGAAGACATGGCTCCAGGCAGCAAAGAGCAGTAACTTCCTTCCGCTTCCATGGAACTGATGGAGTGCACTCATGGAACCCATTACCCGCTGAGGTTGAATTCTTGGTGGCCTCCACCTTCCAGACCCAGAGTGCATCAGTTCGGCAGCTTCGGCTTCATGTTTTTTAAAAGTTCATTTGGACTGAGATACAACTGACACACGGCATGGTGTAAGTTTAAGGTGTACGATGTGTTGATCCTTTCAGCTTCACGTTTTGGTATCATTTCTGCACATGTTTGCCATCTGCCGATGTTTATGATCGTTTGATCAATTTTATATTTTACCTATAATTGCTATGGAGTATAAAAGACCTCAAACCATGAATTGGGAAGGTCATCTTGCTCAGAAGTTTAGATATGAACGTGTGTGTGTTTAACAAAAGGGGAGAATCTTGAACATGTTTATAAGCTTGAGGAAAAGAGGCAACAGAGAGGAAGACACCGAACACACATGCAGGAGAGAGAAAGCAGAGGTGCTGGTTTGACCTAAGTTGCAGAGATAAATGGATGAATGGATGAGAGGGTCCCCTTCTGAAATAGGCTTATAGAGAATGACATGGGTTTATGCACAGCGAGACGGCCTGGGATCTAGGATTTCTCACTTGTCTGTGAAATTTAAATCAGGGCAATTTTCTGGGAGTGAGGGGAAGAGGAAGCTTGAAGAACAAAGATAGGGTTTGTGGAACCGGCATCAAATTTAAGCAGCACGCCACAGCCTCTTCATCTAGGAAATCTGGGGATGAAACTGAATAATTGCTCATGTCTTGAAGCAACTCTGAAATTCATTGATTCTCCATCAGGGCCCATTTGTCAATGGCCTCCCATTTCCTGATTATTCATCGCCTCTTCACAGTTTAATCTCTGAAATACATTTTGTTACATCATTGCTTCCGCATGAAAATAATGAAACCAATCCAATAGCTTTTTATAGGTTTTAAAAACTGTACTATATTGAAAGAATTTTTATTTATTGAGGCAAGTTTCATTCAATACCATCCATGAACATAGAAAGATGTACGTTTTCACAGTTCTTACAGACTTCAATTCAATCTCAGAAATGTTTTTAAACTATCCAACTGAGAACTCAGGAGAAAATATCAAATCTCTGGATTGAATTAAAGGTACTGAAACGGCTCATAGGACTTGCCTCATCATAAAACATGCAGTGTTTACTCAAGTACTCAGAGTTATTTAAGCATACTTCAAGCCTCATAATTTAAAATCTAGTTTGAAATAGCTGAGATATTGCAGACAGTCATTTTGCTATTGCAAGCGGAAATACTATACATAAATACAACTCAACGTAAGCAGACACCTGACAATTCATCGGGGGATATGTCTACAAAGGGTCAAAAATGGCTGGCTGGCTGTTGGTTTCCAATAGACTTTCTGCACTAGTTGATTTTTGTGTAATTAACGTTGTTATCTGCTTGGGTAAGACAAAAATTAAAATCACAAGGTGTGAATATAATCCCAAATGTATATATAAGCCATTGGTTTCAGTGGTTTTAAGTACCAAACATTTGTCAAGTACGTTAATCATGATTTTTCCCTCTTTTCTAGTGGAACCCCTAATCAAAACTAAAATAATTAGAAAGTACTCAGCAAGAGGAAGGAAGTGAAGCAGGGTTACCAGATCTCTGCTTTTTGTTACAGTAGCACCTTTTTGTGTGTGTGATAATTAATCCAATACTATTAGCAATTTCATTCCTAGATAACAAATCATTCTCTGATGTCCTGGCCACCACAAGCCAGTTTCGAAGGTGTGAGACTTAAAGTCTTTGTAACAAGATTTTACTCTTATTTGAATGTACACTGTTTTCTGCACTACAATAGGAAGGTAGCCATTTCTCCTCTTGTTAACCCCCAAGTTCACATGGCACTCTCCCATGAGGAAGCATGAGCATCTCCACAGCTCGGGCTTGGTCAGTAACCTGGGCCAAGGGTGACTGAAATGGCAGGCAAGATGTTCGGAAAAGTATGGCGGCTGGGTTTGTAGGAGGAACTTGGAAGAGTCCACGTTGTGGGGAAATCAAAGGCCTCGTGGACGCCTACTAAGTTAAATTCTAAATCTCTGTCCCCTCTCCTCCTCAAAAATATCTAGTC